TTTCACAATAAATAATAACAATATCTTGTAAAAATTTGAAACATCCTAATCTATACTTGCGTCGCGGCTACGATAGTGCTATCGTCCGGACAGTTTGGGTACGATAGTGCTATCGTCCGGACAGGCTTGCCTAGTAATTGGGAATCGGGTGAACTAGTAATTTTTTCATCCGACGAAATCCTGCGTAACCTGTTGATTTTTTTTCTTGTACGTATATTTACACCACTAATATCCAATAGAACTATTTTAAACAGGTCGCTACACTGGCACGGAATTTTTCATTGCTAATTCTGTGACAAAACTGAATTTTAGTCTTTTAAATTGAAGGACCTAAATAAGGGGGGAAAATTTTCCTCCGCCCCGGGCGGCTGACACCCACGGTACGCCACTGAAGGTAGGCCGGAGATGGTTTATCCGACACTATCTTTTCGACTCTGATCGCGTTTAATTGTTGACTATGACACTTACGCTCATTTTGATATTTTTTCTAGTTTCGTTTTACTTTCTAAACTTCGTCTTAACTTTTAATATTTTAAATTTTCTTCTTTTTATTTCCTATATCTAAAATTTTGGTTTTTCCTCCTACTTTTGATGAGCGTCGACGTCAAAGTCCGGTATCGCCGATTCGACACTTATATAATTTGTTTTCTTGTCGGTTTAACTTAAAAAATTTTTTTATATCTTTCTTTTTTCGGGGAGGGGCTATTTCCGGGATCTCACACATGTACGATGTGTTGAGAGAAAGACAGTGCCAAAACTGGTTTACAAAATTTCGTTCTGGCAATTTCAATATTGAAGATGCACCACGTTCTGAATGGCCAGTTAAAGCCAATGAAAACAAATAAAGGTGCTGATTGAAGCAAACTGCCGAATAACAACACATGAAATCACTAAGAGATTAAATTTGACAAATTGAACCGTTTATGATTACTTGAAACAAATTGGTTTCGTTTCAAAGCTCGATACATAGGTTCCACATGTTCTTAAAGAAAGAAACTTAAATACTAAATGAAAAGTAAATGAAATTTTAATGTTCATCAACTAAATAAAACAATTCTTCAGAATTTTAGTTAGTCGCCCCTGAAAACAGTGGCGCGCCAAAGCAGTAAATTTGAAAATGCGCTCCGAAATCCATGCCGGAAGTCTGAAGGAACCGATTATCGATGGCCGGATTTTCGAATGTCAACCTGCATTTAACTCTTGGTTCTTTTTTGTTCTTTACCTTAATGATTTGAACTTGCCGCTATTTGAAATTCATCCAACATAAATATTTTAAAACGTTAACATTTTAAAATACAGTAGTCCCTCGTTATATCGCGCTTGTCGGGAGACAAAGGAAAAGCGCGATATAACCGTATATTAAACATTCTGTACTTTTACTAAGCAGATTATACATGAATTCGAAATTTCACATCTTTAAATGTGAATTGACGGTATTGCGTCAATTCACAGAAACTTGTAAGGAAACAGCAAGCGTATTAAAACCAATAAATAAACAATTTTTTATATCAAAAGGAAACATATTTGATAATTGATCTGTCCACTTGTTTTGCTTATTTAGATTTTGGCGAATTTATTCTTTCACCTGCAGCGGTAGCTTCAAGAACAATGGTGGGAATAAAATACCGTATTTCGTTGCAGAAAGAAATTCAATGGCAATTGATAATTTACTGACTGAAGTGCATTTAAAATTTGGGGACTAAAAAATAGCACGTTTTAACCAAATATAACGAGGGGCTACTGTATTAAATTTCGGTATTTTATAACTTTTTTTTTGTAAATGAATTATAACAGAGAATTTTCAAATTAATTATAGAAGAAAATAAAATAGTCTCCGTTTTTAGAAGAATTACATATTGTATATTAATTTGTATATTAATAAAGCATGCCAAAATAATTTTTACTTTTTATATTTAAAATTTCATTTTTAAAAATATCCCAATTAGTGAAATAAGGACGCATTTGTAAACTTTGTCTAGGGTGCAACCAACACTGCATGTAGGCAGCCTTATGGTAACCATATTGTGCAAAGATGAACGAATATTTCTGTATATTTGTTAAAGCATTGCATTCTAAGTTAATTTTTTAAAACTGAATATAATTTTAAGACTAGTTGACAATAGCAAATAAGTCTATAAAATTATACTGTGTGTGAGACTCTTGACAGGTTCAAACCACTTACTAAACTTTGCATTAAAACATTTTTTTAAAAAAATGGAAATAATTTTTTTATGAAAATCGCGACGTGAACAAAACAAGATTGTAAGTCCTAAGATTAGAATAGGCAATCAGGAACAGAAAATGATAACAGCCTCGAATTTCAAGATTACGACAGCTTCTTCTCCTATAAATTCCAAGTGTCAGAACATTTGTTCTGTACAGAGTATGTCTTGTACAGCGCCCGCTCAATCATTTATGTCGCCCCGGAAAAAAGACAAATTGCTGCCCTTAAATTTATTTAAAGAAACATGTAATATAAAATTAACAACCAAGTAGTACAAAACAGTAAAAATTAAAATATACCTGTACCTAGTTACAAATTGTTAACTAGATGCATTTTTAATGATATTACAAAAATATATTATTGTACAATCAAACAAAAAACTTATATCCTATAAAAACTAAACAAAAATACATCAACTATACTAAAATCAAAAGAAACTTTTTTCTCATTTTTAGTTCTACAAACTTTTTTATTAACTCTTTTAAGTTTACTTGACCGGCAGTTTCATGTGCAATGGTCAAAATTGCCAAACTATTAAGATGATTTTGCGTGGTAGTGGAACGTAAAAAGTTTTTAATTAATGTTTATTTAGAAAACTCCTTTCCCCCACTTACTACAGTTATTGGTATGATCGGCAGTATTCTTAAGGTGACACTATGGTTTGGAACAAAAATTTAATATTGTTGCTTTTGTCCAAAAGCCCTCTTTTATGATTGTTTTTTTTTCAGAATTAAGGAATGCAAATATTTTCTTAGCTTTTAGGCAAAAATAATAAATACGAAATGTAAATTGCATGGTAATTTCAGCTACAGAAAAAAATCGACAAATATAAATTTTGATTAATTAAGTATTTAACTTATAAATATTTTGTCACATTCACAACCAAAATGCCGTCCTTTAGATTTGCCGCCCCGGACAAATGTCCGAGTTTTCCGCACATAGAGCGGGCCCTGGTCTTGTACCTATCTTTGTCTCCATCCCCCTTCCTTGGATCGACATCTTCCCACCACCTGAAGTCGACCGCATAGCCCAGAGCGGTCGAGCCATCCAGAGCCGGCCCTACCATAGGGCGAACAGAGCAGCCGCTCCAGGCGCTAAGTCCTAGGGGGCGCCTCAGTGGTAAAGAAAATTAAAGGGTATAAATTAGGAACAACCAAGGGGGTCGCCATAATAGGATCTAGCTCCATTCTAAAACTTGCCTCGGGCCGGCACTGGAGCCATCGAAGAAACTCTCACTCGCGAACCAGAAACACCCCTTTATTTGGGACTATCTTGTAAAGAAGAGGAAGACCAACAGACCACCACCGATTTAGAATTTCAAAGATCGCGAAAATCCTGCAAGCTTCTTTCCTGTCAAATAACAGTTCTTGAAACCGTTGAGTCTCTCGGTGCCGATCGCATCCACTTACGATCCTCTCGACCCCTTATCCGTCTTGACCATCGCGTCTTCTATCGGCATTCTCACAGTGATGTCAAAAATGGAATTTTTAAACGCAAAATTTAGAAAAATTCTTGTGCTCCTACACTATTGTTGAGTAAGCCAACATCAAAATTTCGCTCCGAAATTGTGCTAAAAGTGGGTCAGAATGATAAACACTGAGATAGGCACTTTTTGGTGAGTTAGATAGCGATTCTCTTCCCCTTTTTCGGCTTTCAGAGGAATAATACTTCTCTGGTGAAAATAGGCGTGTCACTGATCCCTTAGAGCAGTGGATCTTAACGTTTCTCGTATCGTGGAATCCTAAAATCACCACATCATGATGAAGTGTTCCCTCGCAGAGTTCCGTAGACTCCCTAGAATCGACAGACCATCAGTTGAGAAACACGGCCTTAGGGGAAATATCGAGATTAGCTAGCCGGAACCTATGACAATAAGAGCATAGTCAAGTGCAGGCTCACAGGCGCGACAATAATTTACGATATCGGCATAAGCCAAGCAAGAAAATGACACCATAAAACAGTGCTAGCAACAGGAGTTAGATGAAAAGCTCCGCGTTCAATTTTTGCACGGTCTAATTGAGAACATTAAACGGTTATGACACAAACCCTATTTTTAGAAGAAATGATTGGATAAGTGACTAGTAAATTGCGNGGTTTTTTATTAAATCCATAATTTTCTGTTTCTTGAAGCAGTTTGAGTATGCAGAATTTAAAAAATTTTGAGTTACCAATATATTCAATTCCAAATATTTTATATAAAAGAATGATTTGTTAATGAATTTATGAACAGTTATTAATAAATATACTCATTAATCATCAATTTAAGCTGTATCATTTTATAAATACTGTAAATTAATTTGATGAGTCAGATCTCTACTTTTAGAATAATTTTCTGTTATTGAATTTCATTTTTATTCTGGAAAGTTAGAAGTAAAGACTTATGAGGTAGGCACCAAAGTTTTCTGCCTGTTTTATGTTATAAATATAAAACTGATGTTATAAATATAAAACTGGTGTCATTTTTACTTTTCCAGCTGTTATATATAACAGAGTAAGCCAGTGTGCATCGGAGGTTGATCACTGGTTATTCTGTGCAACCAGCATAGTTGCACGATTGTTTATGGGGGTTGACAACTGGATTTTCCTTTACTGAGAGCCTCACAAATGTAGCCACTGTGAAAGGGAGATCTGACATGCTTTTTCAGTCAATATTAAAATAATATTAACGATATTTATTAAATTTATATTAATAAAACGCACATAAAAATTAAAACTTCCGAAATTATTTTCTACTATTAAAAATACGTCATACGGATAAGCCTGATTAATCGTGAGGTCACTGTCAGTTTAATCCGATATAATTGGTCAATCGGTATCTATGGTAGGAAAATGGCCATGACGCAATTTTGGTTCGTATCTTATCGCGTACATTGAACCAGTAACGTCTGCGTTGTTAATTAGATAAAATGTACCACGAATGAATACTTATAGGAAACAGTTTTATAATATATTGTCTGTATCGCACAAAATCTAAAAAAAAAAATGAGCCGCGTTGACATGAAAGTGGTTCTTCTAGGGAAGGAATATGGAGGAAAAACAAGTTTAGTCGAACGTTATGTATACGATCGTTTCAGCGGTTGTTCAGTCTATCAAAACGTAAGTAAATACATAATGTTAATTTCAATGCCAGAAATGCTTGTTTTACCCATGCTACATAACATTATATGGAAAATCAAATCGAAACTTCACACCCGAATACTGTTAATTAATTGAGACTTATATCTTTAAATCAGAAAATCATTCCTAAAAATCATTTAAAAGTTGAATCATATATTCAACAATGAAAGGTTTTCTCTTTCAATTAAAACAGAGCAACAGGTTTGTGTCAATTTCACATATCATATGTAAACTGAGAAGATTAAAGCTAATTCAGTGTTTCCATTTGCTTTTTGAAATTCAATGTACAGTAATTTTATTAGGTGGATTTTTAAGTTTTTCCATTAATACATGATGTTAAAGAATGTGTAACGGTTATCCGAGTGTGATATTTTAATATAAACATATTACGTATGAGTTTTAATGTAAGTGTGTTATTTACACAGAACAATTAGAAACTGAAGTATCGAAAGGATATGAAAATTTTTCATACACTGAGATGATGTCAATATTTATTTTATTTCCTTGTACAATACTTTTATTTTGTTTGTGGAATTTTTATCTATTTTTTTTTATTTAAAAATTGAAAATATATTCAAATAGATACTATTGAAAAGAATTTCTAATTTCTGAAATTACTGAATTTCTTAATATTAGTATTAAAAAAACATAAGTATAATACTAAGACAAACAAAATTCACATTTGATATCATTAAATAAGTTTAATATTAACAATTAATGTACACAATTTTGAGTTCTATTGCTTTACAAAAGTTTTCCAGAACATTTTCTGTTCAATTCTTCCATTTTTAAACAGAAGTAATTAGAGGAAAAAATTTTATGTAATTATTATAGTGATAAGAACTGTAGATACTGTAAATGAATCACAATGTGCAATTCATGCATTTGTTCCTAGTTAAATAATAGAGATAATATTCATTTATAAATAATAATTAAACAATTTCATGTAAAATCCATTTAATAACTGATGTATTTTAAAATTTATAGAACTAATTATATATTGCTTTCTAATGCTTATCTAAGTTTTCTCTATTCTAAAATTATATAATGGGTCTCAAATTATACTTATTTGAAATTCAGTTTTAAAACAATGTAATAGAAAAATCAGTGTGTACTGTTCAAAATACATTCATGATTCAAAATTATGCATGCATTGTAGTTACATTTATGGTTATTTTCTGGTTAGAATGTGCTTTTATGCTATACTAGCAAATAGTATAAAATGTATTGATAGCCAGTATGTAAGACAGGCATTGCTCAGTGAAAAAAATTCTATTTGTGGATAAGAAGTCTGGTGACACATGATAAAAATTAATGAGATGAACTGTGCCATTCTATCAGTTACAATGAATGCTGTGGACCAATTGGAACAAACATAAAAGGCAAATGGAATGGAGACTCCTTATTTAGTCAGGACCATCTTTTGATGACTGACAAAACTGTCTGCTTCACTGCATTTTTGTCAAAAAACAAAGTGTGGAGAAGCACCAATGATAATATTTTGTAAAGAGAAAGGTAAAAATATGGTTACTAAAAGGGCATCATTTTACCTTTCTCTTTATACTAAATCCAAAAGAAAAAATAGGGAAGAAAGTGCATTTGAAGATATTAAAAAAAAATTGAAAATACAGTATTATAAATGCTACAATATAAATATGTACATTTGTAAAGAAAAAATAATTACTAATATTAAACACTGTTTTATTTATTGTTACATTTTTATTAAAACAGAACTTTAGACTTTAGTTTTAGCTACCATATATATGTACCAGTAGTAATTTTCTTTCAAAAGAAGAGCATTTCTTATGTTCTTTGGCCATTAATAATATTGCTTGCTTATGTCATATCATTTGGACAATACCAGCTGATGAAAATTTGTTATATTGAACACTTTGTAGATAGTTTAAATTCTTCAACTATTCGTGTAACAACATTGGAAAAGATTCTTGTGGTTACAATTCATATTAACACAACTTTTCTTAACCAACATTTATTTGAATTAACAGAAAATTTCTTTAGCTTTCAAACATACAACAAAAATTAAATGCAACAATCATCCCTTTTCATCTTTGTTTCTAACTATTTATTCATTATCCTTCAAATACATAAACATTTATTTAAAATGGCAAAATTCTGCTCATTATGCAAAATGATTGACTTAGATTGCAATTCTTATGTAATTTAATTAACCTACTGAATATTGAATGCAGAGAATAAACACTCTTTTTATATAATTTTTATTGCAGTTATGTTTAAGTTTTATTTTAAACATAATTTTATGTAACAAAGCAATTCAATTGATTATAATCATACCAAAAATAAATGAGTTTTCACCTCTTTAGTCACTTCAAACAATGCTTATAGGTTTTTTATTAAATCCATAATTTTCTGTTTCTTGAAGCAGTTTGAGTATGCAGAATTTAAAAAATTTTGAGTTACCAATATATTCAATTCCAAATATTTTATATAAAAGAATGATTTGTTAATGAATTTATGAACAGTTATTAATAAATATACTCATTAATCATCAATTTAAGCTGTATCATTTTATAAATACTGTAAATTAATTTGATGAGTCAGATCTCTACTTTTAGAATAATTTTCTGTTATTGAATTTCATTTTTATTCTGGAAAGTTAGAAGTAAAGACTTATGAGGTAGGCACCAAAGTTTTCTGCCTGTTTTATGTTATAAATATAAAACTGATGTTATAAATATAAAACTGGTGTCATTTTTACTTTTCCAGCTGTTATATATAACAGAGTAAGCCAGTGTGCATCGGAGGTTGATCACTGGTTATTCTGTGCAACCAGCATAGTTGCACGATTGTTTATGGGGGTTGACAACTGGATTTTCCTTTACTGAGAGCCTCACAAATGTAGCCACTGTGAAAGGGAGATCTGACATGCTTTTTCAGTCACAAAACATGTCACAAACTCCAATACTCGGCCACCATGGTCGAACATGCAAATTTATGGAACCAGTATAATCAGTAGTCATTTTTTACATATTAGATCAGAATTGATGCAAATTATTAGCTACAATAGGTGCTTTGATAGTTTACAACCCATAAAAACAATTAAGCAAGCTCAATAATAGGCATTTTGTAGAAAATATGCATCTTAAACACAGAACCTTTATCTTTTATAGACCTGACAATACCATATGTGGTTGACTATCAGAAGCAGTGTTGCACAATAGTTTTTGACAAGACTATGTCTTGTCTATAAATTTATACTGCCGTTTTATGTTACCAGCTTAGAGGTATGAAGGAGTACATGTCGATAGTTGATATTTGGCAAGAGTATTAGGTGCCCAAATTATTTGCACATAAAAATTCCAGACTTATAGGTAGTCAGGGGATTGAGAACAGAGTCAAAATAAAATACAAAATGGTGACCCTCTTCTACAAACAGGCAAAATAGGCACCTCACCCTACCGAAGTCAGCTGGGGGAGAGTACCACCCACAGTCATTCTAAGAAGTGAACTCTGACCTTAGGACTGAACATGTTGTTTATTCTATGTTAAATAAAATTTGTAATCTAATTTTGTAAATTTGGGAGTGCTTCAAATATGACGTTAAAATGGTTTTATATTGTTACAAGTGGGATTTTTAACATTATCCAGTATAATAAAATCGTGGGACCGATAAAAATTTGACATTATATTAGGGTTGTCGTTACATCCGATGACTTTATAATCGGGTTAAACTGTATATTGTTTGGGCAAAATAAAAAAATAATTTTGGACGATACAATAGCCATGATTATTTTTTTCAAAAACGGGAAATTTTCATTACGCATAGACATAAATTCAACCTGGGCCGACACACAATGGAGAGAAATTTTGAAATTGGGTAGGTTAATTTCATCAAAAATGCATCATGGATGAAATTGTGGTCGTGGCCGGCGAAGTTTGAATGATCGCACCCAAAAGCAGTGATACCAAAGAAGATTGGAGAACGAAACCCACATCGAGCATCAAAGTGATTCCGCTTAGTAGTGAGTCTCCGAGACATAGTCTTGTCCCAAATACAGTTTTGCTGTTTTACTTGTTTCTATCTTTGTGAGTAAGGCAACCTGTTGTTCTTACATTTCATTAAGAATGGGATCCTCTAATGATGCTTCCTGTGAAGATAGCTTGCCTAAACCTGTTCAAATGGACTAATTATGCACAGATTTCAGTTTACGTGGTTGACTACTGGAAGCGGTCAGCAAGAGCCCCTACCTTATTTGCACTTAAGAACATGGAAGGCACATGAAACTTTACAATTATGATTTGAGTGTATAACTATTTTATGGTGTTAATATAATTAAAATAATTTAAAACACAAAAATAAAATATTAACAAGTACTTTGAAAAAAATGCATATTCATCATATCCAAGGAAAGAACAAATAGAAAAATTATAAATGGGAATTCTTTTTCATTTTGTATTTAAGTCAGTGTATGAATACAAAAAGACAGTTATACTTTCAATTCCTTTCTTACCACTTGCAAAATTTTAAAATAACTACTAAAATAGTTTGTAGTTTTGAGTAATAAAACTATGATTTTATTACTACAGTAGAGCCTCGAAAACTCGGCACTCGATAACCCGGCACTCCGGATAACTTGGCCACACCCTGGCAGGGAAAAATACCCTTAGATACATCATAGACAGCTTTATGCCTCAAAGTATTTTTCTGAGGTCTGTCTTATCAGGTAAATTACTGTACACAGTGTATTCATTAATTTTCATTTTCATGTAGTAAAGGCTCTATGCCTTCATAAAGGACGTACTTTTCCTTTGTTTAAGGGTATTTGGGCAGTTTATTCTCTGTTGTATTCTCAAGCAAACAATACATACAAGTACAGTACAATATTTTCTGAGGAAACACGCATACCTTTCCTTTTTTAACCCCATTCCCAATAACCCGGCATTTTCACAAACTCGGCCACCCTTCGGTCCACATTAGGCCGAGTTTTGGAGGCTCTACTGTACTATGCTTTAGCAATAAAATCATAGTTTTAGAGAGAGACTGTAATCAACTTGTATGTCTAAAATTCATCTTTGAATTTTGTATATCTTTTGTAATTTATCTAAACATTGTCTCAAAAAAATAATATGCATAGACTTTAATACTTCAACAAATTTTTATTCAGTCTGCATCAAAGTTAGCAAGAAAGTTTAACAAGAAATTGTGGTACGACTAGAAAGTGATGACATTCTAGTCATATGAAACAGAAATTTCTGGAATAGATTCTAAAATTCCCAAAATAAAATCACATTTGATATCAAATATCACCTAGCAATTGCACACAAGAGCAGCTTGAATAGTGAGTTTTAGCTCTTTTTCCATTACAGCTTCAATCAATTAATGTCTGAATGAAAAGACTAAAAGACATAGGCTCAATCAGTTTTTGAGTATGTTCATTCAAGATTTGTTCTCACAAAGGGTGATTAGCAGTTATCAGTTCAGGAATAGAGTTGTAATGTTGTACTTGCACCTTAAACATGACATAATTCATCCAGTATGTTCTCAATAGTATTTAGATTTAGTGAGTGGTCTAGCAGAGTTACATCTATGTTCTCAAAGAATTATGTTGGACTTAGATGCAGGAAATCTTGCATTGTTCTGCAGATTGTCATTATCTGTAAATTTTTTTCCTAATGCTTTCAATTAAGGGCTGAGGATCATCCAGGTTAAACTTTTTTTCATTAAAAAAAATTGTTTTTTGCCAGAAAGGACAATTTGAGAACTGCTATTGAGTGAATTAAAGACAAGATACCTTACATTAGGAGTCGGTGTTGGAGCAAGTTGCATTTCATAAATTTGAGATTTTATGAACAGACTAAGTGAAGTTTTTATGGCAGTATAGTTGTTTTTAGGGACATATTGCTTTTGACCATGTGCAGACTTTTGACTTCTAAAAACCTCATTGTGCATAAATTTGTTGATGAATTGATGTCTGTTCTGTTTCTTGAGAATTTAATGCTTAATCTCTTTAGCTGCTCATAATAATTAAACATTATCATCATATATTATGCTTAAGTAATAATAAAACAAAGTTCAGTTTATTTTAACAACTTTTATTATATTAAGAATAAATTTACATACAACCACTTTGAAAGTTCAAAATCCTTCTGCAGCTAGACATTTTTGCTAGCATCTACACTTGGCTAAATAGTCCTGGAAAATTTTTTAAAGGCTTTTGTTGATGTCTGCTTCTAAAGTCAACTTTCATTGATAGTTTATGATAATGAATATTTGATCAAGGAAGACTTAATAATGCTTATTTAATATCTTTATTCCTTGATCTTGTCTCCAAAAGCTTCTCTGTTAATTTAAGAAACAGATAAAGCTGAAGATTTCTGTGTTTAAATCACCAACAGCTGTGGAGAACGAAACCCACCTTGAGCATCAAAGTGATTCCGCTTAGTAGTGAGTCTCCGAGACATAGTCTTGTCCTAAATACAGTTTTGCCGTTTTACTTGTTTCTATCTTCTTAATGAAATGTAAGAACAACAGGTTCTTACATTTCATTAAGAATGGGATCCTCTAATGATGCAATAACAAGAACCCATAAAGACATTAAAAATAGTAACTTTCAGAACCACTTTGACAGGTGGTATGGATACAGACAAAAGTAAGTGTTAGGGCAACCGGAAAGTAATGTTGTTTTTTACATTAAAGTCAAACAAATAAATTTTTAACTTGTTTTTATTTTTAATCAATGATGTAATCACCCTCGTTATCAACAACCTTTTGTTATCTAGTGTGCATATTTTCAATGCCAGAGCAATAAAAAGCAATTAGTTTTTGGAGATGGCATTTTGGATATCATCCAAATTTTAAGATTTTTTGTCACATAGTGTTGTAGCGATCAGAATAAATGGAAATCTGTTGGTGCAATATCATAAGGCAGTATGTGGGTGAGGCAGTACCTCCCACTCCAATTTATTAATTTTTTCCAGGGTTTGTTTTGCACATTGTGGTCTTGCATTATCATGTTGCAGAATAACACCTTTTCTGTTAACAATTGCTGCACACTTTTCAATTAAAGATTGATCAACTCGATCCAATTGTTCACAGTAAAGGTCTACATTCACAGTTGGTCCACGTTTCAGCACTTCAAAATGAACAATTCCGTGAATACTCCATCAAGCACACAAAAGCACTTTTTTGGGATGTAAACCTGGCTTAGCAGTACTTTGTGGCAATTCATTCAGAGAGAGCCACTTCCTTTTGCGTTTTGGATTATCATAGAGGACCCATTTTTCATCTAGTGATCAAGCAATCAAAAAACACTTCTGTATTGTGCCATTGAAGTAATAGGTTGCATGTGGTGGATCGGTTAACTTTGTTTTCTTCGGAAGATTATGCGGGACCCAAACTTCTGCTCTGCATACTTTACCAATCTTCTGCAAATGTTCTTGGATGAACCTTGCTTGGATGACTCTTGCTTGGATGAAACTTGCTTGGATGACTTAACCAACCTTGCTTGGGAAAGGTTGGTTAAGAGTGTTTGACAGTTCCTTGATTGTCTGACATGGATTTGCTTCCACTTCCGCCCTTAACACGTCATTGTCTAAAGTCGTTGGTCTTCCTGGTTGATACGAGTCGGAAAGATCAAAATTATTGGATCTGAACTTAGAAAACCACTTTTGGCATTTACGAACGTCTAACAAACTTGGATAAACATCGCAAATGTTTTTGGTAGCAACTGTTGCGTTACTACCCTTGTGAAACTCAAAAAGCATACAATGCCGGATATGTACCTCTTCTGGTATTTGGCTGGTCATTTCACCCAAAATTGCAAAACAAATTTAAGATTTAATTATTTACAAGTAAACAAGTCACTTTAACCTTAAAACATCTTTCACACGGCTTTGAAGTACACAATGAGCTGATAAATGATAAACAAATATTGACATATGCAGAAATGACATTACTTTCCAGTTTACCTAATAGTTACAGGAGAAGTTTGTTTTGAAAATAATGCAGTGTAAGAGGTTCTGTGTTATATAATGAAACTTCTGCCATAAATTCAGTTTGCTTGACTCTATTGTGTATGTAGCATTTAACTGTGATGACACTTATTAAGTTTATTTATTCTTAGTAGATTAAGAAATTAATCTATTTTTAACATTTATGTTAAGAAAAATTGCTGATAAAACTGGTGATATGGATGATATTGATTTAAAATGATTATTTCTCTTTTTTTTATTAAAATTAAACTGATTGAAGAGATGAAATTGCTTGAAAAATATTATTTTTAATATTTGTAATATTTAATATAATGAAGATTATGATTTATAATAAGATTATTAGTGTTTCATTACTAATAATTAGTGTTATTTTTTTGATTTTAGACAATTGGTGCAGCATATGTCGCTAAGCCAGTGGAGATAAACAATAGACAGATTATTCTAGGTATCTGGGTAAGTGCATTAAGTATTACTAAAGTATTACATGTCAATAAATAAAATAGTTTTATTGTAAAGAACACAAGCAAATTTATCCACAAACACTTTCTCAATGAATTCTCTTTTAAGAAAATGAAATTTAAATTAAAGCAAGTGAAATTGATTGGGTGCATTACCTTAAACAATTCTGTATGATGACAATTTTGAGAAATTTTTCAATTCATTTTATTTCAGTTTTTATTTCAATTCAGTTTTTATGGATGATTTTGATTGGCTTAACATTTAAATATTAAATATCCTGGAATAACAGTCATTGGAAACCTTACTGATCACTGGTTATTCTGCACCAGCAGTTAACCAGTGCAGTCACACAATCATTTACAGTGGTTGACAACTGAGTTTTCCTTCATCGAAAGTCTTATATATGTAGCAACTGTAAAAGGGAGATCTAGCATGTGCATTTTCAATCATGGACATGTCACGAAAAAAGTCACAAACTTCAATACTTGACCACCTCATTATTTATATATTAGATCAGAATTGACTCAAATTATTAGCTGTGGCAGGTGCTTTGATAGTTTATCACCCACAAAAACAATTAAGCAAGCTCAATAATAGGCATTTTGTAGAAAATATGTACCTGAAACACAGGCCTTATCACATCAGGTGCTGACTGGAATAAATAGACTAGATTTTACTAAAAGTAGCCTTTAATTAACCTCAATCAAATTTTAGTATAAATGCATTTCGTATACAAAGATTACATACATTCATACAATATAAACATTAGTATCCATCAAGACCATCATAACATAAATACAGGTTACCAACACACCTGGAGAGTCAGAAAATTTGTTAAAAATTGTCAAAAAGTCAAGGAATTTGTTTCCTTGGTTTCCTTGTTGTTTTTGTTTGCTGACAGTATGGCTGCAGCAAGCTGTCTGCAGGCAGCAANTTTTTAACCCCATTCCCGATAACCCGGCATTTTCACAAACTCGGTCACCCTTCGGTCCACATTAGGCCGAGTTTTCTGGACTCTACTATATTATAAGTTTGAGAGAAAAATCTAATACTCTTAATAATCTAATGTTGATAAAAAGTTTTTGAAATATTTTAACTTTCTATCTCTTGCAATTTACACTTTCAATTTGAGGGAAAATGTTAATGAACTGATGGAAAAAAATGATAACAAAGAACCAAAAATGATAAATAACTTAATATTAATTCAAATAATATTATTTATCATTTTTCATTTTAATAATTTTGATTGCATAACAAAACGATTTCTGAAACTTTTTCCCAGTTTATTAATATTTTATAAAAGTTTGGAAAATTTATTAAAGGACAAATTTAATAAATTTATCGTTTCGTGGTGGGTCAGCGTTGCCAGATTTAGCTACTTTTTTCAGTTTGACGTAAAAAAAACACTAGGCACACTTGCAAAAAAATTTTTGTGTATTATAAACATATGCAAAATATAAATAAAAAGATAAATTTAACTACATATTTTTACTAAACTGCCACTGAAAAATTATGAATACTTTGCAGTTATACTAAATTAACTTAGTGCGGAACCAGTAGGAGGTTAGAAAATTTTATTACCAACAAAGATACGAAAGTGGGCGGTAGGTATAAAAAGATTGACTATCCCTGCTGTATATCCTTCAGAAGATAGATGAAAACAAGATTAACTTTAATGAGCACTCTTATTAGTTTTTATATTTTGAAAAAAGAATGCTTAAGTCTAGTTTAGGAAATGATTATTTATTCTACTGATTAGTTGAAAAGTTTTGAGATTATTAATATGATTCAGACAACTGGAGAGATTTCGTTGTGTAAATTATATTGTGCTTTATTGTTAAACACTGTTAAACAAAAATACCGTCGTCATCTGAGCTTTGCTATTAACCTTAATTAATCTGAAGTATTGGCAGCATCTTTATTTTTCTTTACAACTTTTCATAAATTCTGATATTTTCATTTTCTTACATTTGCCAAAGAGATCTTTAAAAATTTAATTTTTTTTATGTAGTAACTTTTAATTTAATCTATAAAAACAAAACATAGTAACAATCTTTTGGGTTCATTTAGAGCACTATCATCGACGACAATGACACCTGGTTTATAGGAAAACTAGAATAGGAAGCAAGGATAAGAAAGAAGAAAAATTATACTTATACAATTATTTTTCATTTAAAAAAATGGGTGAAAGGCACGAAACAGCATTGAAAATTTCTATATTCTAAAATTCATTTGCAAATCTGAGATAACACACATGCTTGCTTAAATAAAAAAAATATTGAATGATGGGATTTGCATTTTGTTAGAGTACATTTGTATGTACTCTAACAAAATGTCACAAGTTTATTAGAGTATGTTAGAGTACATTTATATGAAACTGAAACCAAACTTTTTCTTTAGTTCTAATACATTTAATTAATACATTTTGATCATCATAATTAATCGGGCTATTATTTTGCTGTTATTAATAATTAGATATTAAGTAATTTGGTAAGTGGCTGTAAATGGTTATATCTAGGTTTAAATACATCTGGAAATGAAGAATTGCTTGAAGATCTAGGTGGCATAACTGGCAGTGCACTGCATGGTAAGTGGAGGTTGCAGATTCAAATCCTGCTCTGGACTAGTTTTTCTTCCAGACTGTTCTAAATTATTTAATAAATTATTATAATTATTAATTTAGATAAGATGTGGCACCTAACTTCTACCTCTAGTATCAAATTATCTTGATATCTAATTATTACTTACTTAATATCTAATTATTAATAATGGCACACCAGTGGCCAAGCAGTTCCGTTCCCTGAAGACTGGGGATTCGGTCATGGGTTTGCACCTTGCCAGGGCAAGCTGGCCACGTGGAGCTTTTCAGGTTTTCTCCATGTCTGTATGCTTGAATAGGGGCCAGTTATCCTTAAAAAGACCTCCTGCAAGGCATTCCCCTAGACAAATCACCCAAGTGTTGTGTTGCCATAACTTAACAAACAAACAATAATAATAGCAAAATAATAGTCCAATTAATTGCAATGATTGTTTGCTTTAGTATCAATGCACCAGTCTTCGGGATGTTTATTGTATCAATACATTTTGCTCTCATTATTTTAATGTTTGCCATCTGTTTTTGTGGAAAAAGTGAAGTTTTGGAAATACCCACAGGTGGACACAAGGTCTCATAGACAAATTTTGCATACTTGGATCACATGTCTATTGTTGACATCAAACATTAGTGATTTAGATGTCCAGGAAGAAGAAACACCTGTAGAACAAATGCAAGCATTTTCTAAATCAAAGCAAACTTACTTATTGAAGGAAAGACAAAAAAGAGTGACTAGAAAGAGATGGTTGTTGTAAAAATTTCAGTATGCCATTATTTATGCTAGAAAACACAATGTTTGATAAGTGAAATATTTCAATCTCTCTGTCATTTTTAAACAGAACACAAAATTAAAATATTCAGTTTCCATTAAGTTTACATGTTTTATTATATCAAACTGTCTTTATTTAAGGCATATAATCTTCACAGTGATCTAATTTTCAACCCAATACCAGTGTTATATGCTTATGGAACCGGCCAACACTTTATTATGGATAAAATACAAATGTCCACCAGTAAAACCAACAATGAAAATGTCTATGAGTGATCACTTTGTCTCAGTAGTAAGAGAGCAAATGACCATGGGTGGTCATTTGGTACTCAGCATGTTAAATAGCTTTTTTTTGTTTTCTTTTTTTAATGTACTATTTGGTGTTGTTTATCTCAAAGACATATTCAACTTGGGGCTATAATTTTGCCTACTTCCATTATTCATCATTGTCTTTCAAACTAGCATTGTTACATTAAAGGATTCTAGTGTCAAGGGTATGAATGTTCTTTTGTGAGTCAAGTAAATTAAACAGTTAACCAGTTAGTCAAAATTGAATTTGACTTGAATTCAGAAATGCCTGGTATTGAATTGAGAAGTATTAGCATTTATTACTTATCAACTGATCAATCTTCTGTAATGAGAAGCTTGAACAGCTATTAATGATCATCAACTCTGCTGTTGTCAGAACTGTTACCAGAAAGGAAAAGTTCCTAAAAGGATAGGAATTCTTTAATTGGAATTTTAATCTTGTGTTTGAAACTAAGTCTTGAGGAAGTAAATATGTAGCATTGAGCCTTTGTTAGCAATAATACCAATTTGGATAAAACTACTTGGATTAATATTTTTGACAATTGTATTTATTTCAGATTCACTTAATTTTTACAAGATGAAGATTTATATTTTATTCAATATTGGATATACTGTAATTATCTATTTATATCTATAAATGTAGTGAGCATCTTTGATTTTTTTAGGATCAATTCTTGTATTTTCTAGACCTATAAAACTTATTATCTTTTTTACCTTGTAAGATGCACTTTTTCATATCTAAAATTTACCTTAAATGTAGGATGCATCCTATAAGCTAAATATGTCTTATACTATGAATAAAACTTCTGATGCGTTCAATACAGTCATGCATCGTATAAGACAAAATTACAGTATTTGAAATGACATTACCGTAATGAATGAAATTTACATAATATAATAATTCATTTAAAATTTATCGTGAGCTTTGACTGTAACAGTGTTTGTCATTGATTGATGAGAAGTGGATGTTAATTTAATCATGTTTCTTTCAACAGTCATACAAAAGTTGATTACATTAGTTAATTTGTCTTTTCCTTCCTTATCAAACTTTGATTCATTTTATTAGAAAAATAAGTCAAAGTACATAATCCATTTTATGCTGATAAATACAAATTGAAGAATTTGTGCTATACAGTATATACAGGTTAAATGTAGAGGAAAAAAAGGTAAATGTGAATTTAAAAAAATTTTGTCTGTTACTTCAAAAGCAGCCATCTCAAATACTGATTAATTTAATTTTTATTGTTTTTTTATAGAAGTAATAACTTCATTAACAATATGAAACAAATTATTAG